GACACATACACCCAGACAGAGACCCGGAGAGACACCGAGACAGAGAGACACTGTTTGCTGCCACATGAATGCTCTCAGCCCCTGGGATGGTGTTACTTGGAAACTCTAAATATACGACTTTATCAAAACTCTATCCCTAATGAGGAAAGAAAACTACCAGGTAAACTGAACGGCCAGGCTGCTGGCTCACTGGGAGCAGCCCTGGGGACAAGTTTCCCTGGAGGCCAGGAGACCTTTTCATTCAGCTGTAACCTGAGCCCTGTGCAAGGATTAGGTCTTTTTAACCACTGCTGCCTCCCCAACCCCAACCTCCCTCTCCAAAAAAGCAAAGCAAATTAATGCTTCTAAGTTAACAATTATCTTGGTTATCCAGTCTGTCTACTTTAAAATATACAGACAGGCACTTGAAAAACACTCAAAACCATGTGCCCTCATGCTCCCTCCCCCCAGTCACACAGACTTACCCATCCACTCGTCCACACACAGCCGCACGGAACGGAAACATCAGCATTCCCACACAGTGCTCAGTCGCAGCAGAGCCAGACACCAGCTGTGTCGCCTGTGGGTGATCATGGCGAACCTCTCTCTGTCTCTGTCTCTGTCTCTGACACACACTCACCTTTATACTTAAGGCTCATTCCTCCTCCACCCCATGGGAATCTCTGGTGAAAAGGGCCAAGACCCACATTTCCCCACAGGCATAGTAACTCCTTGCAAGATACTTGACCAAAGTATTTGTGTTTTAAAGATCTGCTAATGCTTCGTTTGAAAGCATGTGGCATTAAAGTTGCTTTCTAGCACTGGTGATCATCAGGGGATACGTTTGGGGGCAAGGGAAGCCTCCCCGATGCCCAGAGCACTCTGCCCGTGGGTTAGGCCACAAGGCTGCCCTGCCTGGTCGGTACTTGTTCTTCCTGCAGCATCTGCCTGCAGATTTGGGTCCAGAGGCATCCCTAACCTGTTGTTAGGCAACCTCCAGCCAGGCTTTATAGATTTCCTGAATAGCAAGGTCAATGGGAGGCTTCCACTCTATGCCAGGCTAGACTCAGGGATCAGAAGGAAGGAAGGAAGACGCAGAGCTAACTGCAGCCCAGTCAGAGCAAGGGTGGCCTGTGAATTAGATAAGCAGGGACAAAACTACTAGTCTGTAAGTTCCTTGAGGGCAGGGGCCTCCACTCTGGCAGCATGTCTCCCAGCACTCAGCAGGCGTCTAATAAAAGAGGGAGTCCTGGAGTACCCTGGAGGGATTCTGACTCCTGTCCCTGAACCATGGGCTGATGACACCTGTCCCTTAGAGGAGTCTCCATCTGCCCCTGAAGCCCCCTTGAATGCACAGCTTTTTCTTTTGCCCCAGTCTCCCAACCTTACTAGGCCACTACCGACACTGGCTCCAACTTGAAAGAGGCCCTTATCTTGTCTCTAGATTACTTCATGAAATCTGTTCCTTCCTTCAGACTAAACTCCCTAGCTAATTCCATGTTATGAGTAAGTCAGCAAGCACTACAAAAGCCAGCTTTGTTTATGAAAACACAAGCAAATCCACAGTGAGGAGAGGGGCTGCTAGCAGGCTGGGGTGGCGGTGGTGGGCTGTCTGGAACCAGGACACTGGGGAAGAGGCAGCTTGGGGTTGGGAGCGTTTGGGGGTAGGGTCTGGTATTTGACAGCTGAGGGTCTCTAGTGTTTCAGTTCTGCTAAAGGACAGGTTGGGGGAAGAGGTCAGCTGTAGAGGCAGTGTTTGGGAGAGGAGGGCAGCATTGATGTAGCACCTTCCTTTTAACAGAACGCAGCCCATCCAGTGCGCAGAGCAGCTTAAGAGCCAAGCACTCAGGCTCCAGACACTCAGGCTTCCCCCACTCCCAAGTTCAACCTTCCTTCTGGCCCAGCCGCCTTCTCACCCCAGCTGGCTTCAGGAGCCTCTGGGATAATAGGCAAGATCATATTCTCCTGGACAAAACCTTGCCAGGAGGAATTTTCTTTTTGTCCATATAAATCTCTTGTCAGTGAGGACACGATGGGGGAGGGGTGCAGCAAGAGGTCAAGGGGGAGGGGAGGCTAGCGCAAGAGGACGGTGGCACACCAGCCTAGTTGCTGCCTGCACAGCCTTGGGAACCTCCAGGCGATGAGCTGGGTCAGGGACTGGGTCCCGAGGCCTCCCTGTCTCTAATTCCTAGAGGGGTCTGTCAGACTCCCCAGCCTGGAATTCTACTTTGTTATTTTAATGCAATTCTGACCTGGATTTAAATGGAATTGGAAACCCGAGGCCTTAATAAATAAATATTATGATAAGAAATGAAAGCCATGCAAGACGAAAGAGATTTTCCCCCCAAAAGGCAGAAACGCAACATTTTTGCTGGGAGCCAGTCACAGATTTTCTTCTCTTCTTCAGTCCCCTACCATCGGTGAGAGATGAGTTGGTTTTCCCATAAAAGATCCTATTTTTCTTTAACATTTCTCCACTGATAAGACAGCTACTTCGAAATTTCTGTCTGACTTTGCATGCGGGTTGGGGATGAGAGGGAGAAATACATGGCATGGCTGAAAACTTTTCATTCTCTCAGCCTCTCCAGGCCACAAGTGAAGTTTCTGGCACTGTTTGAGAGAAGAGAAGATCGTCTCCTAGGTTTTGGAGGACAAGAAGTCTTGCGAAGATGCTGGGAGGGGGGTGGGCTGGACGAAGTCGGGCAGAATTCTGCGGTGCGTGGCCACTTGTGCCCACCGTCCCCAGAACTTCTCACTCGTCCCTGCCGCCCCGGCCGCTCCAGCTTTTCGCTCGGGGCGCAGCGTCCGGCGGCCAGGCCCCCAGCCAGGGAGTCCGGGTCCTGACAGCCGCACGCTTCCCTGCGCTCGGAAATCGCGCCCGGCCGTGGGCCCCGCAGCCTGGGCGGCCCCGCGGCCGCGCGCCCCTCCGTCCTTACCTTGCGCGGCTCTGCTGTGCTGGGCGGCGCGGGCGTGGACCAGCAGGACGAGCAGGCAGAGCCCGGGCACGCGTCCCGAGCCCATGGCTGCAGCTACGGGCGGCCGGGCAGCCAGGGCCGGTCTCGCAGCCCGGGGAGGGCGGAAGCCGGCCGGGCCCCCGCGCGGGGGGAGGGGGCGCCCCGCCGGGGCCGGCCGGGGGCTACAGGCTCGGGGCGCAGACCGCGGCGCCCTGGGCGGGAGGCTCCGATGCTGCCGGCTCCCGCCGCCGGACGTCGGGGAGCGCGAGGCGGAGGGCGAGGCGAGGCGAGGGGCGCCCGGCGCGACTGACGGAGGGAACCCCCGCCCGCTCCGGGTCGGGCTCCGCCAGCGGCGGCGGCGGGGCTGCTGCGTGCAATCCCACCCGATTCCCACTTCGCCCGGAGAGCCGCAGCCCGAGAGCGCGCAGAGCCCGAGCGAGACCTGAGAAAGGGGAGGGGAAAGGCCGCGCCAGAAACACGCCCTTTCTGCCTCTTTCTTCCCCTCGCTCTCCCCGTCTCTCGGGCTCCGTCTCTTTTTCTTCGCCTTTCTCCTCCTCCTCCTCTTTCTCCTCCTCTCCTCGCTCCTTTTCGTTTCTTCCTCCTCCCCCTCCTCCTCCTCCTCCACCTCCTTTTTCGTGCCCTTTTTTCTTTCAAATGGGGCCTCGGCGCGGCGGCCGCTCCCCCTGCGCGCCCGGGCGCGGCGGCCCCCTCCCCAGGCTGCCGGGCCGCTGCCTGCAGGAATTTACAATCCGGCGCTGGGGAGCGGGCCCGGTCTCCATGGAGACGGCTTCCCCGGGAGCAGGGAGGTCAGGCGCAGACCGCGCACAATCAATGGATCAATGCAAGCCCCGCTCGGCTCCAGACCAAACAGCATCGGGCTCCGGCGCGTCCTCTCCCCGCGGAAAGAGTAGGGGAGCGAGGGTGCGCCCCGCGCTCGCACGCGAGGAAGGCCGTGCGGCGCAGGTTTGCACGCACACCTCCACCCGGAGACAAAGAGGGCGCGAGTTGTCGGGAAGCTGGGGCAGACATGGACACGCAGGACTTGGGCGCGTCCACCGACACCGCCCGACACGCGGAACGTAGGACCTTGAAACACAGAGTGGCTCCGGTGCCTGGCGGTGACGCCCTCCCAACTCTAAGTCCCCCCACCACCACGACATCCCCATCCTCAGGACTCAAGGTCTGAGTCCACTTTAACTGAGGACTAAGAAGAAAGTAGTCTTCCCCCTGCTAAAGCTGCCAGCTCCAGGGGGAACTCCACTGCAACTCCCTTTGCAGTGAAGGGCCTTGGAGGTAAGCCCCCCCACCCGTGTAGACATGGAGGCACACACACTCTCATGTGTTCAGCACAGGAGCAAAAGCTAACCCACAGAAACATGCCTGAGTGTGTAAACACAAAGACAAAGACAGGTACAACACGTTCCAACACTCAGCTTCATGCGCTGGTCCTGTCTGGTCTATTCTCAACCCTCATCCCTCTAACTACAGGGGCAGCAGAGGAAAGATAACGAATATTTTAAAAATAGGGGCGACCTGTGCAGAAGGAGCAGTGTCCCTCAGTCATGGACGCTGCCTCCTGACCCATTCCTTCAGTCTGCATCTTCTCTCCATAGTCAGGTAAAGAGGAACGACCTCTTGGAAAGTGATGAGGGCTTTCTTGGAGTGTGGGGCTGTGGCCAGAATGAGACCACACAGGGCCACAGGTGCTACTCATGCTTCACTGCCAATTTTTACAGGGAAGAAACCGTTGGAACCCAGGCTAGCCTTACAGAGTCCTCAGGGTACTCAGGGGGAAGGGGCAATGACCAAAATCTCCTCGAAGACAACTTGGTTCTCAGACCCTTGACAGTGGCCACCTGCATCAGCTGGGGTGAGAGGTGTGCTTGGTCAGCAGCCTCTCTGCCCCCCATTGAGAAAAGCTGAGCCCTTCCTTCCCTAGAGATGGAGTGGAAAAGCAAGAGGATGGAAACATACTTAGGCATTTGGGTTTCTTGTCCTGGCTTTATCTTAGGACAAAGATTTCCTTTGGGCAAGTCATATCTAATTGGTCTCGGTTTCCTCATCTAGAAAGCAAGAGTGTGGATTCGTTCCGAGGAAGGCTGGGGGAGAAGGCCTTGAGATCCTTTGCATGGCATGAGGGATGACCGCTGAGATGGAAGCACGTAGATCATGGGAATGGTATGGAGGCTGCAGAAAGGTTGGGTCAGACGATCTCCTAGGTCCCTTCCAGCCCTGTCACTCTAAGACTCCCCTCTCTTTCATTCCACTGGCAAACCCCTCCCCTTGTAGCAGCTTTGCCTGCTGCTACCAATTATGTGTAGGGCTGGAGGACAAGTGCAAACTTGCTATCCTCTTTGCCCCAAACAAGAGAGTGGTTAAAAGAAAGAAAGGAAGAAAGAGAGAATTGGAGGTTGCCAGAAGGTGCCTGTGATCTACATGGGGCACGGGGAGAGAGCTGGGGAGCTCCCCATGGCTGGGAGGGGAGATTAAGCTCTGCCTTGGTTTGCTCTGTCTCTGGCTTCCTTGGACCTTGCACCTCTGGGTCTCTGGGGAGAGGCGGGGAGGGGCTCCAGCCCACCTCCTACCCGTCAGCTGAGGTGGGCATGGAAGGTTCTATAGGAGCAGGTTATCTGGGACCATCTCTCCAGTGTGATTTTCTGGTCCCCTGAATGGCCATTGCCCTGGCTTTCAGGGAGGGAGGCTCAGGTGGGTTGCCCTACCTAAGCCACTGTGTCTCTGAAGACTAGGGATCTTTTTATTTCGTCCTACCAGTTTTCCTCTGATCATTTCCTTTTCTTCTCTAGGATGAGGTGAGCTCCTCCTCCACATCTGGGCAGAAGAGGCAGTTGCCGGCTCTCCCCCCCCCCAAAATCTGGTTCCAGCCCACTCCTCCCTTCAGAGGATTCTATGGGAGTAGAAGCAGGGCTTGTATCACTGGGGCACTGTGAATTGGGGTGCTGGTCACATTGCCCTCTGTCCCATGCACTTCTGCAGGGACTTAGTTGGCCAGTAATTCAGGTGGATGACAAGGAAGGGACAGTGAACAGTAGCATCTGCCATATCATAACCAACAGGGGCAAAGCGCCCAGTGTCTCTGGACCTCCCACATTCATCTCTCAGGCTGCAGTTTGCTTCACTTTCCTTCAGGGGTGCTTCCGACATTCATTTCACTCTAATTCCTCCTGTTTGGGGAGAAGACTGGAGGAGCGGGCCCGTAGCTGATAGATCTCAGTTCAGGTCCTGCTCAGGGATACGTCTGCCAGGCCCCACCACACCCAGGGACTTCCCCTCTCCTGCCAAATCTCCTATAAGCTCTGCTTTTTCTCTCTGCGCTCAGCTTCCCAATATGTAAATCAAGGCCAATGACCCTAGCTTGACAGACAGGCATAGACTACTGGAGAGCATGTACCAGCTGCAGCAAGACTGCCCCAGGGTCAGTGTTGGGCCCTACCATTTCCCAGACACCTATCTACTCTTGATGAGTTATTTCACTTCTAGGAGCCTCAGCTTCTTCATCTGGAAAATGGGTATGGTCATTTGACTCAAATGTGATATGACTCAGTGTCTACCTGTATGGGCTCTATCTAAACAAACCTGTGGGTCAAATCTCAGCTCTGTTACTTTCTACCTGTGTGACTTCAGGCAAGTTACTCAACCTTAGTGAACTTCAGTTTCCTCATCTGACAAAGTGGATGAAAACCTACAGGTTATGGTGTTAATTAAATGAGATAATGTATAGAAAACACCTAGCACATAGTAGAAACTCAGCGGGGGAGGTAATTGTAGTTGCTTCGCAGAAGGAACAAAGACCACAGCTTTGACGGTAGAGGTACAGTAGTGCTTGGGAGGAAGCAGCTTTGCCCTGGATCAGGCTTTGACGCTGCTGGGTGTATGTGACCCCAATGGGGTCAAATCTCACTACCCCTAACAGGTTCCTGTCTGTCACACATTCTTGCTGAAAAGGTTTCAAAAATTCCATGCATTCCAGCACACTGCCCTTGTCAGCAGCACTTCCATTTGTACTGCCTTGCATCTTCTAATCTGCCTTAGGAAGGTATAGACACTCTGAGACACAAATTAGAGCTCATAGGTACCACGTGCCAGGCACTGTACCGGGCACTTCACCACAAGCCTATGCGGCAAGACTTGTTATCCCTATTTTATTGATGGGAAAACAGGCTCAGGTAGATTAACTTGCCCAGAATGACAGACTAAGAAGGGACAAAGCCAGCACTCAGGCCCAGTCCTGACTCTGAAGCTTGTATACCTCTTCTGCTGTCTATACTGCCACCTCTGAATCCACAGAATCACAACACATCCTTACCACTCATAAAGCCTGATCATGTGCGGCAGGCCAAAGGTCGCTGAGCAGCTCCTTCACGTACAGGGCACTAGCCTTGCTCTGGAGGATCATGCAGCAGTAGAACTGCAGAAGACTGTAGCTATCACCTCTGTGTGATGATGAGAGATCACGCGACTTGCCCAAGGGCACACAGCATATTTAAGAGGCAAAGCTAGAAGCAAAATCCATGTCTCCCCTGGCTCTGACTTCCAGATCAGTACTCCCTAGCCCATATCCTAGAGCTGTCAGGACCCCCTTCTGCTTCTTGCTCTTTCTCTTCATGATGATTTGACCAGTCATCAATCCTTCCACCAGGTGACATGTGGTACTTATCTCATACCTTCCCTGCCACTGTCCTATGCCCTCTAGGAGATGCAAAAGAAATAGGAAATGTGACTCCGCTGGTGGAGGTACAGTACCAGTGTATGGTTCTGGACCCTTCCATATCACAAGGCAAACCCTCCAGATGAAATGCGTCTTAGCAGGTAGGCAAGGTTTACAGAACATCTGAATGCATGACATTCAGAATGTGACATTGAAGGCCCAGAGAGAAAGTGCCATAGAAAGTCAGAGGAAACAGAAGCCAGTCATCCAAGAAAGCTTCATGGATGAGGGGTGATTTGGGCTGAAGCTCAACGACTCTTAAACAGAGAGAAATATAAAGACAGAAACATAAACAAAATCAGTGATTGACAGAGGGAGAGAAAATGAGAATACTCAGAATGACAGCAGAAGAAATAAAGGAGGGAGGGAGGGGATCTTGCTGGGTGGATGGACAGGTTGACCCTGGTCAGTCCTTGTTTCACACTGTTCATGATGGCTCGGGCGTCATTTTGACTTTTATAGGCGGAAGATCAGAAGTAACCCTCTCTCAAAGGCTGTTTCAGCCCCAGGATTCTAGGAGTACCTTGCTCCAAGACCTTTTGGTCTTGCCCTCACAGACAGGTCCACAGGCAGCCCTCTGGGACTTGGGGAGAGGTAACCCAGTCCGAGCTGCCCACACCTGTTCCAACCTTCTCTGGCCACTCTGACCACCTCTTGATTAGCTCCCCGGGCCCCTCACCCTGTGTCAGCCACCCCTCCTCCCTCCTCCCACCCCTACACCTGAGTCACTTTGCCATCTGCTTCTTCCAGACAGCCCTGGCCCCTTCCACAGAGCTGCCTGTCCAAACTCCGCTTCCTCCAGACGGCCCCAGCCCCCGGGCTTCTCCGGTCGGTGCCCTCAACTCCTCTTTGAGAAGCCAGAAACCATTTGGCATGAGCCTCCTATCCCCTGCCCCGTCTCCCTCCCCCGCTGGGAGAGGGTCCCTCCTTGCAGCCAAGCCCAGTAGTACCACATGTATGTACAGGGTCCCACCCATCCTGGCCCTCCAGTGAGCCCGCTCTGCCACTTACCCCCTGCCAGATCCTCTCACTTTGGCTGCTTCCCCTCATTCCGTAAGTGCAGCTGTCCTCCAGAAGTGACAGCTAACTTCTCCACACCCCGCTGCCTCTCGTCTTCCTTTGCGCCCAAACCTCTCAGAGGAGTACACCTGCGCTAGTCTCCACCTCCCTGCTTCCCTTTCACCCCTGGCAGTCTGGCCCAGTCCCCCTCTGACACCCCTCCGCAAGGTCTCCAGTGACACCCACATCTCCCCATCTAGGGCGGCCTGCCAGTCCTTATCTAGCCTGACCTCTCTGCCTCACCCAGAACCTCTGGACCTTTTCCTTCCCCCTCTCGGAGCACTTTCTTTTCCTGCTTGTCCTGCTGGCTACCCTCCCTCCACCGGCCTCTTAAACGAGGGAGAGTTTGGGCTTCTAGATTGGCTCTTGTCACTTCTCACACTACACGACCTCCCTCAGTGCTCTCTCTGAGAGACACCAAGGGTGGTGGGGAGAATATCAGCCAGACAGCCCCAAGTTTAAATCCCAGCCCCATCTAAGGGTAAGCTCGGGCAAGTCGCTTCACTCCTTTGAACTTCACCTTCCTCATCTGGAAAACAGGGAGGATAAAATTCCAACCTTTGGAATTTGGGTTGCTGCAGTGTTACTGGTGACGGCTTGTGGAAGACCCAGCACAAAGGTGGGCAGCCGCTAGTAGGCCACCTAGGAGGGCATCACGGTCCAGCCCCCACCGACATGCTGATGGCCCTCAAATCTATAGCCCAACCCAGCTTTTTGTCTAGTGTAATTATGTATGTCCGGTTTGCAGATCTATAGCTCTTTAGCTCCCTCCTTTCTTTTCTATCTAGTCTTATATTTCCACCTACTTATAGATACTGCCAATAGTATTTTTCAAGACCTCAAGCTGAACCTGCCCCCGACTGAACTCATTGTTCCTCTCAACACTCTCCCCTGCCCTGTCTTCTTCCTCCCATCTCCATCTTGAGGTTAATGGTCTCATAACCCACTTAGTGGTCCCGGCTGGATTCCTTAGAGCCCTTCATGACTCTGTCCTCCTCTCCATCTAACAGGCCATCAGATCCTGAGGGTGCAACTTCCAAACCCTCCCTCAAATCCACCCCTCCTCTCCATCCCTCTTGCTGCTGCCATAGTTCAGGCACTTGCTCTGTATCCTAGGGACCATTGTCTGGTACAGCCAAGTCCTAACTCCTTGGCACGGCATACGTGTTCCTCTGTGCCAGTCCTGAGTCTCTCTCTCCAATGACATGTCCTTTTTCTCTTCTGAGTCACAAGCACCATGTTCTTGTCAGCTGGAAAGCCACTACTACCTTTTAAGATCCAGCTTAAATGGTACCTTGTTTGTGAAGTCTTCTTACTTCCCCAGCAAACTTGGAGCTCAGTGGTCCTTGAAACCTACCCCAGTGATGGCCCTGGCCAGGCTGTACGGTAATAGTCTGCTTATCTTCCACTAGTCTGTCAAACCTTTGAGGGCAAGACCCATATGGGTCACTACTAAATCCCCAATCCCAAGCATATTTCTGGCACATAGTTGTGCTCAATGAATGTTTGTTGAATGACTGAAAGAATCAAGGAGTGGTGAGTTCATGCAAACCCCACGAAGAAGTAGAGCATTCCCTGACCTCGTCTCCCTGTCTCCACCAGTCTGAGGGTGCTTCAGGTTGCCTAAAGGACCAAAGGAAGCAGAGGTTGTGGAGTGGAGGGCAGTGTGGAAACCCTAAGCTGAAGAAAGACCATGGAGATGCAGGGGACCTGGGGGGACTCTGGCCAGACACTCTCGGATTCTGGAAGACAAAGAGGCATAGCTAGACCCTTCCAAGCCAGAGCTCAGGATCTCCCCAAAGGTCTAGAGAGTTGGGTGATGGCAGCCTGGATAAAGAGCCAGAGGCAGGAGACTGGGCAAGAAGCAGCTTGAGTGAGCAAAGGCCTGGGCCAAAGCAGCTGGAGAGGGGTCCACAGGCAGCTCGCATCTGAACTCTAAGGAGGCAGACCCAGGAGGCAGAACCCTGACTGAGGCCATTTAAAAGTCCCTGGGGGGTTCTCTGCCACCTCATCAAAGATCTTTCCTATTGGTTCTTAAAATGCCATCATTAGAGAGTTACTTCTTTGAGCTAAACCTTATGTTCTTTGGCCCCTAATACAAATATCCTCATGAGAGAGGATGACAGGATTAAGACTTTGCCAGTTAAAACTTCAGTTATCAGTTGACGCCTTAACAAATGTGTCTGAGTGGCAGAGGAGGGGGCTATAGGAACTTTCATAATGAACTTCCAAACTTTGCTGAGAGCTGGCTTGGCTTCCCTCCCCCAGATCCCTACTGGTTTTCCACCCCAGAGGAGAAGATGGAGAGGTGGAGAAGGACCTCTTTATCTACCAATATCATATCATTCTTTTTTTTTTTTTTTTATACAAAGTCTCACTCTGTTGCCCAAGCTACAGTGAGTGCCGTGGCATCAGCCTAGCTCACAGCAACTTCAAACTCCTGGGCTCAAGCAATCCTGCTTCAGCCTCCTGAGTATCTGGGACTACAGGCATGCGCCACCATGCCCGGCTGATTTTTTTTATATATATTAGTTGGACAATTAATTTCTTTTTATTTATAGTAGAAACAGGGTCTCACTCTCTTTTTTTTTTTTTTTCAGCTGGGTCCAGGAAGAGGGGTCTCGCTCTTGCTCAAGCTGGTTTTGAAGTCCTGACCTCTAACAATCCACCTGCCTCAGCCTCCCAGAGTGCTAGGATTACAGGCGTGAGCCACCGCGCCTGGCCCCAATATCATCTATGGGTATTGCAGATTAAAGAAAGAATCGGTGGAGGTATTGGACAAAGTTCAGGGTATTCAAGAACCAGATTCAAGTAGACTGTAGAGTGAATTGTTGTAAAACAAAGCTTACCATAGCATCCAAAGACCCAATAACATCTATTATATTTTCAGAAAAGGGCTCCCACAGGACTGAAAATCCTTCTGAAAGAAGCTAAAAACCTGTAGCAAAAAAGGGGCCATTGGAATGTTTGCCAGCTGTGTACTTGTGCTAAGTGTTGATATCTTTACAAAACTTTGCCTGCTTTTTTTGGCACGAAGATCTCCCGTCTTTGTGCCACCTTTCCTCCTCTGAGCTGACTTGGCAAAGCTAAGGAACATCACAGTCAGGCCGAGATTCCTCAGTCCCCTGTTCTGCTCCTGTAAAATTCAGTCTGCAGGAAGCTGCAGTGTGATGGAGAGAACAAACTCTTCCCAGGGGCCCTGACCCTGACCCAGCGATGTTCCACCCCTTGGTCAGCCTAAGGACTACTGAGAAGGGAGAGGAACTCGTTCTAATCCTGTTCTGCCTTCGCCTTTTGCCTCCAGTCCCCAGTCCAACGCTGCCGGCATGGATTGGACCAAGCTGTAATGCCGCCCTTCACCAGCAGGTGCCGCCATCTAACATACCATCCGCTAGCAGCCCTTGGCGAAGAAGTCCTGAACTCAGACCTCTGGGAGCCTACTCCAGGAACACGGTGCCGCAAACAAGTCTGCAAATAAAATTATTACAAATGAGATACACTCACACTGGTGAAGTTAATATGAAAAATTAATTGTCTGCGTCTTTCTTTATAACCACAGACTCAACGTTTGACATTTATTGTGCACTAACTCTGTGCCAGGGACTTAAAGGATGTGAGGATTCAAAGACAACGGTTTCTCCTTTCAAGTTTGTAATTTGGTGGGGGAGAGAAATTTGCATCTGAGTAATTCGAATATAAGGCAGAATGTGGTACATGTCCCAATGTGGAGGTGCCAACATAAAATTCTAATGAGGGCATAAAGCACACAGATTGATTCCAGCTGTCACGGGGACGGCTGTATGGAGGAGAAAAGGGTTTAAAGCAACCTCAAAGGATACATAGAATTCCCGCGTGTGGAGTTGGGTGAAGGGGGTGAGGGCTTTCCAGGTGGTGGGAACAAGGTGAGCCAGGACTTGGAGGGGAGAATGTCTTCAGGGAATTACTAATGTGGTTCAATCAGAGACAAGTATTTTGGGAGTGGCAGGAAGATCTGAAAGGTAGGATGGGGCCAGATGCTGAAAAGCCTGTTTGGATCAGATGCGAAGGGGCTGGCATTGCTGCACAGGGCCAGGAACCCTGATAACTTTGCAGCAAAGGGGCAGCATGGCTGGCTCGCATCACGAATTGGCTTTATGCACACTGCAGGATTTCTTCAGCGGGTTGATGTTCAGTGAATTTATTTCATCATGGATGCAGGAAGGGAACAGAAAGGAGAAGAGGGGGAAAGGGACATACAAAGAAGTGACAGGCAGGGAAATAACGGATAGAAGGAAAAGAGAGATGGAGGAGTGAGAGAAAGAGACGGAGGCAGCAGGGGAGGCGGCAGGGCAGGCACGGCACTGGGAGGAGGTTCGCTCAGGGGCTGAGCTCAGGGAGCTGTTTGGGCTTTTCCAGGCCAGCGGCCTCTGGCTCCAGGCCCTGGCTGACCACAGAGGACAATGTGAGGCGAGTTTGTTTGGTAATGTGTTTTCTGCTGGCCCTGTTTGTTTGTTTTCTGTTTTTCTGGCATTGGGCACGTCTGGGATGGAGGAGCAGGAGGAGGACAGGGTGGGGCTGGCATTGACAATGGCCCTCTGGCAGGCTCCGGTAGGATCCTTAGTGGGGGCTTGTGGGCATTGGAGCTGGACTTTTGATGTCCCTGGGAGGGGCCTCTGTGTGGATGCCCAGAGCCAGGTGGCCCGTCCAAGCCTGGAGATGGCTTGCTGCAAGCTCTTTGTCCCTGCCTTTCCCTACTCTGGCAGGAAAGAATTAGCCCTTGAGGCCCGGGCTCCTTGCCTGTGCAGCCAGGATGTCGTGCTGGGCTGGGAGCCGGAGGGGGCAGCAAGAGCAGCGGCTTCCAGCTTGGTGCTGGGGTATGCAAGGGGCGTCCACGAGAGCCGGTCTGCTCCCAGTCCTGATGACAAGCCTGGCTTTCTTGCTCCAGTCCACAGCCCTTAGAAGCCAACCTAACGAGCACTATTAAAGTTAATGAAACACAAGGATTCCTCCATTTGCTCAGTTACAACTCTTTACGAGTTTGCTCCCTCTTGCAGAGGAGATTCATTTGAATTGCCAGGGCTTGGCCTTTGTCCCCCTAATTTTTATTGGCTCATTAACAAGATCAGATGCTCTGGTACCCAGGTCCAAACAAGTGCTATTGAGTCTCAGGCGACCTTCTCATTCCAAATTAGCCTAAGAACACCCTCTGTTGCCCTTCTTCCCTTTGGAGCTTCCCCACTCCCTACCTCAGTTTTATATGTAGGTACAGCAGAGGTAGAGATTTCAGAAGTTAGGAAATGCTTTTCCATCCCCTTTAGAATCCGTCTCGGCCCACTGATGTAGAGAAGTTCCCCAAAGGAGATCCAGTTCCTTTGGTTTAAGAGTGTTACTCCCCAGTAAAATGGAAACATACTGAATCTTGTTAGTCATTTACATGTTGGTGTGAATTAGTTCATATTGTCACATAGTTTTCAAGGGAATTTGGGAATTTGTATCCTAAATTGCATACAAACTTTGTCCCTGGTATTCATTTTTCCAGAGAAAGGTTTTCTATAGCTTTCTTCAAAATTTCCATAAGACCCCCTACAAATCCAAAAGGTTAACAGCCTGTATATTAGTGGAAGAAGAATGGTCTGTAACAAGGGCACAGGAAACAAAATCTCCCACCTCCAACCATCTGCTGGGCCAGCCCTGCCCCTGAGGAGGCACCTTCCCCTCCTCTTTGGATGTATCTCATCCACAGACCTCCCATTGTTACCACAACTCAATCGTGTCTTTCCTAAATGTTAAAACCAACCTCAAGTTGGAGGAGAGGGGCCATGAGGAGAGCCCCTTGAGGGCTCCCTGTGTTGGTTTACATGCCAAGGCTGTAAATGATAGGCTTACATGCTGGTGCGATTGCTCATAACTCGCTGTAAGGGCAGGGCACCACATGCCTCCGGGGCCCAGATCCTCCACTGCCCGTACAGGCCCCAGCATTCAGGAGGTCAAGGGGGAGAAGAGCAATGAGCTGGCAGCAGTTGGCATGACAGGGGCCAGCAGCAACTATGGGGGACGAGGACACACTTGGAGCTGGTCTCTGTTACCCCACATCCTCCCCCACAGAGCAGGTGGCTCTGCAGTGATGCCTTGGCAGGACTCCTCTGCTCGGCCAGCCTGACTGTTCTTTTGGGTTATGGTATTATGTCCAGAAGGCCCTGGTTAAAATGCAAGGGTGCTTCTTGGAAGATGAGTTGGCCCAGTTGGCTGGCTGTCACCCAAGGGAAAGCAGAGACCCCAAAGCAGGGAGGATGAGGTTTGGGACACAGGAAGAGAGATTCCAGCGGGTCAATGCAATAGCTATATGAAGTTAATTTAAATGGCTTTCCAGGTGGTTTCCCTAATTCCACTCTCGGGGCCTGAGAATCTGTCCCCCACACTGCGGGCAGGGTCATCTTAAAGCTGGTTTTCACAAGCTCAGCACTATTGACATTTGCTATGGGGCTGTCCTGTGCATTGTAGGACATTTGGCAGCATCCCTCTATCTGCTAGATGCCAGTAGCTCCCCCTTCTGCAGTTGTGACAACCAAAAATGTCTCCAGACATTGTCAAATGTCCCCTGGGGGAGGAGAGCAAAATCATACCCCGCATGACCCCTGCCCTCAGCCTCACTGAGAATCTCTGTCATAAGTCAGCTCACGTTATTCCCTGGTTAAAATCTCACAGCGTCTTCCCATTGCTCTGAGCATGAAATCCAGCTGCCCGACGTGGTCTTCAAGCCCTGTGTAGTCAGCCTGGCCTCCCTCCCAGCCCGGTCTGGTGCCACTCTGCTCCCGTGCGCTGTCACCCTTTAGCCACATGACCCTTTTTGATGCACCCAGACAAGCCAAGCTCTCTCTTGGACGGGGGAGGGGGAGATGGAGCCGCATGGCAGATTTGGGATATGTTTTTGAGGCCTTAATTTCTTTGGAATTTAGTGGCAAGCCTTTTCATAGGTACTTAAAATGACTTGTAAATATGTGACTTTACTGAAACTTGTAAATATGTGACTTTACTGAACTCATTACTGAATTATTGACTTTTCTTTCCTCATCTCCCCCAGCTAGAATATAAACTCCATGAGAGCAGGGAACATGTCTGGCTTGTTCTCTCTTAGATTCCCATCACCTCCCACACTGCCTGCCACCCAGGAGACCCTCAGTGACTATCTGGGGAATGCGTGAGTAAGGGTTCAGGGAGGGAGAGTAACTCTTCTGGAAGGCCAAGGGAAGGTTTTGTAGGCATGTTGAGGCTTGAAGCTTGGGTAGGAAGGGTGGAAGGTGTTCTGGGACATGGTTTAGGGGATGGCAGAAGCAAAGGCCCAAAGAATAGCGCAGTGGCCAGAAATTACTGCGATTAACCCCCGGCTGCAGTCCCCAATCCAT